AATATCCCATCAAAAAGGTATCATTACTTAAATTGGATTTAGAAATAAAACTTTTTCTGACCTGGCGAGAATCCATGAGAAAAGGTGTTTCTTTTAAAAAAAATAAGTCATTCCTATGGTATGCAGGTCTATTATACTAGAATAAATAAAGTATTTTTTCAAGCTTAGTTACCCTAATTTAAAAAATATATAATATGATTCCTAATTTAAAAAAAAACTTTTATTACTTTTCTACTTGTTATCTATAGCTTGTATTGGTTTTTACGGAAAAAGCTGCAATTTACCATGCCCATTTGGATTCTATGGACACGGATGCAAAGAAGAATGTAATTGTAGCAAGGAGCAGATATGTGACAAGACAAAGGGATGTTTAGCTGTGACGAGTGAGCATTTTTTATTTAAATTACATAAATAGTATATTCTGTTAAAAACTATATTCTGTCGAAAATACGAGGGTTGTCCCGTAAAATCGTGGACAAGTTGTCTAGTTTGAAAAATAATCATCACTGCATTCTGAAATTTTCACTACTCTTTAGTACATATAATATGAATATACATAGCAAATTTTAAAAAGATATATGCATAAATAAACAAATTGTGATATTTTATGTTATGTACTGTTTCGCCCTACGGCGCACGGAATATAACGTCAAGGAGTCTAAAACAGCGTCGCGTTTCATGTTTGTTAAATGTATAGTTTGATAAGCCCCACTTAAATCTAGAAATTTTTTTGATTTTCATACGTGAGTGTTTATAACCAGTTAAGGAACTAATGTGGCACACTCATGCGATCTTCTGAAGATTTATCAGCAAGTTACGGACAGTATTCTCACCATCATTCAACTAACAAAGAATCTCATATCAACGGTCGAAAGTGACAGCGGCTTTTGCTATTACAATGGCAGTCTGTCCGTATGTTTTATACTACTTGGGGACTCGATCAAGAAAACTTCGCTAAGAAAACTTCCATTTCATTTATATTTTAAAGATCTGGTGATATTTTACATATTTTCTTTCTTCTATATTCATTTAAAGTCTCTTAAGGTGTCATTACAACATCCTAATCTAACTGAACTGTTCTCCGGTGCGCCGTAACGTCATCAAACGTCGCCATTTTTTGTGTATTGTGTTTACCATTTTCCCATTTCGAATGCTCGGGAAAATGCCAAAAATTAACCAAAATGTTTGAAATTTTCAAAAAGCCGTCAGAATTGATTAAGGAATTTAATTTGAACAATTTTCATCCTAATCTTGTGTATTTAAAACTTTTATTACGATTTAATACTTGCATAGTCTCTAATATAACCTTGTTATTTTTACCGTGCGCCGTAGGACCGTACCCTGTGCACATTCAAGCAGAATAAAATCTTTATTTTTGCATATATATTATCAAAAACATTATAATACACTTAAATATAATGAATAAACATTTACTGAAAATTTCAGCTCAGTGCGCCCATTACTTTTTGAGAAAAGCGCTTTGTCCACGATTTTATGGGACAACCCTCGTAAATCATGAGTAATTCAAATAATGAAATAGAATCCTAAGTACACTTTTATGGTTATTTCGTTAATATTCGTTTTGAGAGAACTTTTCGCAAGCAAGATATTGAAAAAAAGAGAAAGAGCAAAAAGTCTTCATTTTGTTTGATACATAATCAAAAATAATAATCATAATAAATTCATTAGCTCACGGTGATAATTCATATCTCTTCTCTGCCCTTTTTGTACACAATCCTTCCAGGAGTGATAATTTAGAAACAATAATATTTGCTGCAGGTACTCTTGTTATCTTATTATTAAGGGGGGGGGGGGGAGGTGGACAATGTGCTATTTACAAATAAAGTTGTAAGTACGGACACTTGAATCCAAGCTTTTTCGACCATACAGTTGTTAGATACAGCCAAAATCTAAACCGGAGATCAAAATAATCTATGTTTTGCATCTTATGAGATACTTTAAAATTTTTGAATTAATTATTATATTGTACAGATGCCATTACTTTTAGTTTTGAAGATAATATTAAATTTAAAATAATAAATGGTTTTTACTTACCATAAACATTGAAATTGATCGAATAATTTTGGAACGGGCTGGTGCTGGATAATTTTTATCAATGCTACTAGATTTGATTGATTGTTGCTTTACGTGTCATTCAAAACTTTCTACTCATTCAGACGTTACAATATACCGGTAAAGAGCTACATAGAACTGTATATGATGAGTCAATTTTGGTTCCTTAAAAACATTATATAATGATATTAAGATATGTATGATTGATTTTTGTTTTGTAGAAAACATAACATTGAAAATATTTCCAACACATTTTTACATTCATTTATATGCACTCACGGGCTCAGAAATGATGCTATGTTTGCAATCCAACCAGAATAAGAGAAAAATGGTTGTTTATTGTCGTTTTACTCTGATGGGAAACATCAAGGGCAGGTTGTAACAAATTTTCTGTCAGTATATAGTGTTGTATAGATCAAATTTATTATTGAGTCAAATGCTAACTGACGTTTTTCATACGAATTGTTAGTCCATTATTTACACACTGATTTGACAACGGATTTTCCGTTATTTCCGGATCCTGAAAGGAACACACAGCGGGTGTAACTGGTCGGAAGGGGCTGAATACTCCTCCATGATATCTAACCCTACCCGTTTCCTCTGCTGTTATTTTGTATTGATTAATCGACTTTTGAGCTTGAATATTGTTTGTTATCTTCATATATTTCATACACCTTTGGTAAAAATAATAAGTATGTCCAAGTCTATGCTCAATATTGATTGGAAGACAAGAGGCCCATGGGCCACATCGCTCACCTGAGAAGCTTTGACCATTCTGTTCTTTACAAGATTTCCCCCTTGTAATACATATTGACCCCCACCCTACCCCAATTTGAAATCTACAATACCCCAGGATGCTTTCACATAAGTTTTAGCTTTTCTGGTCCCGGTTCTTGAGAAGATTTTCAAAGATTTTTCCTATATATTTCTATGTAAAAATTTGATTCCCCATTGCGGCCCCGCCCTACCCCCAGGGGTCATGATTTGAAGAATTTAGAATCTACACTACCCCAGGATGTTTCCACATAAGTTTCAGCTTTTCTGGCCCCGGTTCTTGAGAAGAAGATTTTCAAAGATTTTTCCTATATATTTCTATGTAAAACTTTGATTCCCCGTTGTGGCCTCGCCCAACACCCGGGGTTCATGACTTGAAGAATTTAGAATGTACGCTACCCCAGGATACTTCCACATAAGTTTCAGCTTTTCTGGTCCAGTGGTTCTTGAGAAGAAGATTTTTAAAGATATTTCCTATATATTTCTATGTAAAACTTTGATTCCCCATTGTAGCCTTGCCCTACCCCTGGGGGTCATTATTTGATTAATTTAGAATTTACACTACCCCAGGATGCTTCCAAATAAGTTTCAGCTTTTCTGGCCCTGTGGTTCTTGAGAAGAAGATTTTTAAAGATTCTTCCTGTATATTTCTCTGTAATACTTTGATTTCCCATTGTGGCCCCGCCCTACCCCCGGGGGTCATGATTAAAACAATTTAGAATCTATACCACACCAGGATGCTTCCACATAAGTTTCAGCTTTTCTGGTCAAGTGGTTCTTGAGAAGAGGATTTTCAAATATTTTTCCTATATATATCTGTATAACTTTGATTCCCCATTGTGGCCACACCCTACCCCACTGATCATAATTTAGACAATTTGAAATCTACACTACCCCAGGATGCTTCCACATAAGTTTTAGCTTTTCTGGCCCAGGTTCTTGAAAAGATTTTCAAAGATTTTTCCTATATATTTCTTTGTAAAACTTTGATTCCCCGTTGTGGCCCCGCCCAACACCCGGGGCTCACGAACAATTTAGAATTTACACTACCCCAGCATGCTTCCACATAAGTTTCAGCTTTTATGGTCCAGGGGTTCTTGAGAAGAAGATTTTTTAATGACCTCACCCTATTTTTCTGTTTTTTTTTCTTGATTATCTCCCTTTGAAAAGGGACGTGGCCCTTCATTTTAATAATTTGAACCCCCCTTCACCCAAGAATGCTTTTTACCAAGTTGGAACAGTGGTTTTTGAGAAGAAGTCAAAAATGTGTATGCATGTATAGTCATGCAAATTAAAGCATATGGCGGGTGTAACCAGTCAGCAGAAGAAGCACACTCCTCTATGGCACCTGGTCCCACCTCTGTTGTTCTAAACTTCCCTGATTGCTCCTACTTTGATTTGTATTGTTACAATAAACTTTTTACTTATTAATAAATACTATTTTCTTTTTTATTCATTTTATTCCCCTTAGAAAGGAAAAATTCAATTAAGTTGGAGAATTACCTCTAGAATTACTTTGTAAGGTTAATGCAGGCTGACATTTTACATATAAATTGTGAGAGCCATTATTTACACACTGAATATTTTCTGTTTTCCCCATCATTACAAGGAGCTTACGGCGGGTGTGACCGGTCTGCAGGGGATGCTCACTCTTCGAAAGCACCTGATCTCATCTCTGATGTTTTGAGGTCTGTGTATGATCGCTCTTGATTTGAATGGACATTGATTTTAATAGACATTGGGAGTAAATACATTTTATCATCAGTCTTAATATCCCATTCCAGTTTCTCTAAAATACATTTGCACTGGTAAAGTGAAACATTTTTTGTGTTTTTAATTTATCTGATAATGGTTTCAATGCGGATTTGGTAGCAAAATGACAGCAAATACTACAAGCTGCCAAACTGACATTTAAAGGGATAAAGAAACTTAAAAAAATAAAAATAATCGAATAAACATGAAACATTAAATATATAAGAAAAAAGCACATAATAAAAACCTTGAAAGTTTTTGCGATTTTTTCAATTGATTACATACCCTTTTCTACTTATATTAAAGAAAAACAGTTTTTTAAATATAAAGGAATAGATGATTTTTTATAAGTCTATATCTAGAATTTTAACCTTTAGATGAATTATTCAATATCCGTTTTTTGGATATTGAATAATTCATCTAAAGGTCAAAATTCTATATATAGACTTATAAAAAATCATCTACTCTTGATCAACATTACGATGGTATTTCACAGAGCTGTACGGTCGGAAGATCCTTTACTGGTTGACCCCAGATCTTGCTATGATGGGATTTTCCTTTAGTGACTGGTTAGCATATTCACCCTCTTTAAAATGTCCCCTTTCAGTGTAAATGTTTTCATGTGATACAGATAATAGATTCGGTTTCATCCAAGCATAATCATTCATATTGACGGGCGACTTAGAAGGCAAAGTACACGTACGGATCTTTTTAAGTTGTAACCGAGAGTAGTTATCACCGCATCCTCCATAATATCCCAGATCTAGAGAGCTAGATATTGATTCTTGGACTTTTTCTCGGCGCTGTTTTGGTACACTCATGCACGCTTCCATCACCTTTGACCTGTTCTGCATACTGGCATTTTCTGGTCGAAACATTCTCGTGTTTTCAATCATCCGTGATTCGCGTACATCATTATAAATACATTCGCCTTGTTCCTGCTGCACCGAACATGCATTTTCTGAAAAAAAAGAGAGAAAATAGTCCTACTCAAATACAAACTGAATTAACTAAAAAAAGGAAATGAATATACCTGAAGGTGAAGATTCCGTAGCATCGATATTGGTATTTGATCCCTTCTCCATCCTAAAATTTAGAACAAAGTATCAATATTTAGAATAAAGTTAAAATGACGTTAATGGCACCATTTTATTTTCAATGATAAAATACACTAGACTAAATTGCTAACGCACCACTTGTTAATTCTTATCTGTGAATTGAGCATGTGTAAGATCGATGCTAGTGTATATAATAGGTCATTTTTTCCAAAACAGTGGGGTTGACAAATGTTTAGGTATCATGAAAAGACCCTTAAATGACCTTCTTGTCCGAAAACCAATTTCCAGCTGTGCACTGTGCACCATTTTTGCCCAGATATGAAACTCTTGATCATTAAGGGTGATCTGTGAGGTTGCAACAGGAGTAGTCCTCAAGTTATAAATCAAATAACAAAAAGTATTTGACTCTTCTATCGCTTAGAAATAACCCAGTGTCTTAGTGTCCATATCAAATCCACTCAATTTCCGGTTGACCCAGTTTTGTGGAACCATTTTCAACTTATTGTATGCTGCTAACCTAATGCCGTGGCAATCTAAAGTAAACATGTTTATGTTTGTTAATCTATTTGGGACAATTTTTCATAAATGAAATTCATGAGCCTTTTATTGTTTTCATTTTTTACAGATTTCTCTAAAGGAACCCCATGCAGAGCCATACTGTCTGCTTTAGCACTCTCTTATAGCGTCAAACGCCGCATATGGTGTAACTTTTTTTCTGAGTTTTTAATTAGTACAAATGGAAAAAACACAAATACAAAGAAAAAATTGAAAAAATGTTCATCTAAAATTGAATAGACACGATTTTAATTTTTCTATGAATTGGTCACACTTCAGTAAACATTGTAGTCCTTTATAAAGTTTGACATTAACATGCCTTATTTCTTATCAAAGTAACAGATTTATATATCAAATACATCATAAACAGGTTTTTAGAAGTAAAATATCAATTCTCTTAGGTGGTGCGTTAGCAATTTTGTCCAGTGTATATCATTTAGACATACTCACACTTTACTTCGAAGGTAGTAGACCATTCCCAACACGATGAAGACAAGAGCAAGAACACTGCAAATTATTATCATCATTGATTGTAAAATGTGGCTGCTTTCGTTGGATCTCTTATATTGGTCTTTAGTTATATCTTAATGACAAAAAAGGAAACTGAAGATAAAATAACCGAGTTGCGACGATTTTCATTGTTTTTCTCCTTTTACAACCTACTAGTATAAATTCTTTAATTTATTGAAACCCTACTTAAAAAAGATAATAAATACCTTCTTTAAGATACTTAGCATGATCTTTCCTTAGTTGTAGTTGTTCAAAGCGCTTACACAACTTGATTATATACAAATTTAAAGCTGAACACGACTCGAAAATAGGCACACGACATTTTCGATATAATTATCTACGATACTAATTTTTACATTAGACAATACGTCGTCCATATATATAAAACAAACAAAGAAACTTACAATTATAGTTGTACAGGTCAGTGCAGTACACAAACAAAAACAGATACACTAACTGCTATTAAATGTAAACAAAGGTAATGCGAGATAACCAGCACGAACACGAGTCGCCATTATACGCAGATACCCGTGACAATAAAGCAGTTAGGTGCGACGCATCTGAAGAGTATACCCTGGTGTTGATGGAAGGCAATGTAGATAACGAACATTATTCAATATCAAAATCCATAAACAATACATAATAGGAGCAATGCAAACACGGACCTCCGAAACATCAGAGGTGGGGTCAGGTGCGATAGAGGAGTGAGCATCTCCTGACCGGTCAAATCTGCCGTGTGCTCCTTGTCATGATCGGGTAATAACAGAAAAAATCCATCGTCAATTCAATGTTTAAATAATGGACAAACAATTATATAAAAACGTCAGTCAGCATATGACAGTATGCTGACAAGGTCGTTGTATCGACCATAGAATTACGAAAAAATTTACTTAAAACGAAACTGTTGATATTCTTGTTTCAACTTATTTGTCAATAATTTACCTCGTTTAAGAAATTGTTCATACGTAGAGCATGCTCTTGCGTATGGAATCAACTGAGATATATAAACCACGTATGCAGATGATGAAAGTACATTGCTGCATAAGTAATGGAAGTTGACGATAGAAAAGTTAAAATCATCACGTCTATCATAATGCTTGGTTATTAGATTACCATTAACGTCTTTTCAAGTAAATATCCAAGTTTGAAACCAATGTGTCAGACTCTGTGGTATCTTTTATCTCAAGTTCACCAGGATATGTCGTATCGACATAGGAATGAAATACCATTGTTAATTGACAATATGTCGTCGATATATCTAAATGTTAAGTTGAGGGCCATAGCAAGTGTTTTCTTCTTTTAATGCATAGGATTTTGCACAAATTCTGCTTCATATGAATACAAAAATAGGTCTGCTTATAACGGAGCGCAATTAGTACCCGTGTTAATTTCAATAGATTGATGGAAGACCTGGTATCCCCCCCCCCCAAAAAAAAAATAGATATTGTCAATCAAAAACTCAAGCATCTTTTTGATGTCAACTTCAGAGTACTTGTGTTTACAATCATAACAAAATAATTTTGCAAATGAACAATGACCAGGTAAGTAAATTTACGAGTTCTATATAAATCAAAATTGAATTGTAGCAGGTGCGTTTGTATTTAGTTAATTTCTGTATTGTTTGCTTTTTTTATTTCTCGTTTCGTGATATCCTTGAATTATTTCGTTAATTTGGTGTTGTTTGTGTGAGGAAGTGAAAAAATGCAAATGTGTGTGTGGATGAGGGAGAGTGTGTGTAATATTGGATCCACCAGTGACTTTGAAATGCAATATACGCAGTAGAAAATTATTCTGATTTCTCTGAAAATGATTCTTTTACGGAATACAGGATTACTTTTGCCCTTTTTGGAAATGCAGACAACTTTTTCCTGTTTTAAATAAACTAACTCACAGATCTATTCAAGAAATTAAATTGTGCTGTTTTAATTCGCCCCATTTCAAATTTATCCACCTGCGATAAAGGAGAAATGGGCAAAATAAAACAGGGGCAAGAATTACCCTGCATAACGTATTTAAAAATACACATTCAAAAATGAAAAAAAAAAACAACTTACTTTTAAGATAATCATTATGCAAAAGCAAACAACCTCTTCTTTTGTCACATATCTGATTTTCACTGCAGTCACACCGCTCACGACATCCATGACCGTAGTACCCATACTTACACGGATTTAAACAGCCCTTTCCAAAAGAACCAATGCAAGCTGTGGATAAAAGTGCTTAACAATAAAAACTAATTCATTAAGCGTTCTCCAGAGGGACGTTAGACAATATACAATCAATCAATCAATCATTCGGTGTTCAGTATGTTCCATGCGTAGCAAGAAAGTAAATGTTGAAAAAAGTTACCTGTGCACTTTCCTGAAATATTCTTGTAGTCATGACAACAGCTTTGTGTTCCATTTCTGTAATTTTTTAGTTTATATTGCTTAGAAAAAATGAAATATTTCATTAATGCCAATATTTTATTTTTTTTTAAACAGATGAGACATGATGAATGTGCCAACTTTCACTGCTTGATAAAATGAATTAAAAAACAAGAAGACTATTCCCCTCATTGAATTAAATTATTATCATCATGTTTTGTAAAAAGTTTTCATAATGTTTTTCTTAACAAGAGGTTAAGCAATAACAATCCATTATTTTGGAAAATTAAGGAAACACGAGAAAATTCTCATCAAATTGTTTCATTTGAAATATCTAAACACAAAAATACTTACAAATCCTTACACATTTTTATGTCTGAAGTCGATGAAAATGAAATCGAGCATAATAAATATGTCACAATCAAAAAATATATGTGTTCCATTCAGCTTTTGTGATTTTTTTTCAAAAGTTATATGAACCTAATAGGAAGGGATACACTACAAAATTACATCAACTCCTTCACAGAAATATTTCCTGGTGGCCAGACACTTGATTTGATCTTTGGACTTTTAAAATGCGTACAATACGTGATTATTGCGTGAATATCTAAACATGAAATGATAAAGTACATTTTAGATAGATCGAAATATTTCTGTTTATTATATTTAATTTTAAATAAAAGAAAATAGAGATAGCAAAATTTTCATGCCAAGTTCTTTATGAATACAAATAAATAAAATAAAAATAATTAAAATAATAAAAAAAACGTTTTTGAGCCATTTATAAAAATAAAATGCATACAACAGAGTGATAAATATAAAAATTATTTTAATTTTCTTGTGTAATTTATAGCTTAATATACTTTTTTCACCTTCTAATCTTATGTTACTCGATAACAGGGCCCATCTACACATAAACAAAAGTGACATTTTTTCAAAGCATTTTCTACTACACATCGGTCATTTCTGTCGTTTCATTGTGAAGGATATGTATAACTTGAATTTCTAAAACGAGGTAGTTTAATGGCAGGCAAGTTAGAGCAACAAGAATATCAACAGTCACGTTTAAAGTCATCATTTTGTAAGTTTTATGATCGATACAATGACCTTGTCAGCAAATACACAAATGTACAATTTATTATTACGTCAAATGCCGATTAACGTTTTAATACTAATTATTAGACAATTATCACACACTGAATTTTTGACGAATTATCCCGTTATTTTCCGATTATGAAACGAGCTCTTACTCTGATTTTCCTGCGGATATAAAAAAAAGACTGCCGCTTCCCTGCGATGGCCACTTATTGTGCTCATTTATTAGTTGCCGTGTTTTTATATTCAATTGAAGCAAAATTTGAAAAAATCTACATGAGATGACTGTATGAAAAGAAGAAGACAAGCTTTTCTATCGTCAACCTTTCTTATCTCTTCAATGATATTCCGCTATTACCTGCATAGAGTGTTTATGTCTCTCATCTTTTTCACTTCTCAAGAACATGTTCTGAGTACATTCATGTTTTAAAAGACAGAAATATGTCAAAAACGAGTCGTGCCTGTGTGTTTAATTGGCACAGGTGGAATTTGAAGGATGAAAACTACATCGGGTGAAAACGATCTGTGAAGAAACGGGATATCCATGAAAGCACAATTATGCGGTAAAAGAAATGAAACAAATGCTAGAAATTGCCGGAAAAAATTATTTGAATTTTTTTATGAGTTGATATTTGGCCATACTCTAAGAATGTTTTTTTTTTTTTTTTTTTTTTTTATAAATACACAAAGATAAGTGAATGTTTTTATGTCGAGGCGTCGATGAGTGTGCCGCAGGGTTACAAAACAAATAGAATTGACACACAGATTTGTGTGTATAATTCACCAAAGAAACCTAAAATTAATTGGAGGACACGATGATGTACTTTAGCTAAAATTATTCTATTGCTTTATTATTTATTATGTACAGCATTTTGTGACAAATAATAAAACTTTTAGGTGAATTTAACTTAGAATGCAATAATTTTTAAGGAATACACTGAGGCGGATACAACAAATCAGATACCATCCAAAAAATTAGAAAAAAAAGTTTTCTGTATTTCTGCGGCTGAATACATTTTTGTTTTAAAAAAAGATGACCCAGTCTTCATGATAGCTTTGTAGAATTTTGTAACCAGGTTTACAGTCTTTTAAGTTCTTACAGTTTTTACAGTTCTTTAAAAACATACTATTTTTCAACTTTATACACTACCACTGCCCACGATAAATTAAAGTCCAGGCTTATTGATAACATTGACAATTTCGTAAATTTACGTTGTCATTGGTCCTTTGCAAAATTATTTTGTTAAAATACACAAATACTCTGAAGTTGATATCAAAAGATACTTGAGTTTCTGATTGACAATATCTATGTGGTTCTTGGAGACCAAGTCTTCCAACAATCTATTGGAGTGCCCATGAACGCAGCAATATACCTTCATCACCTGTATACGGCTTGGCTTTTATATTCCTCAGTTGATTTGATATGCAAGGACATGCTATATTTATGTACAAGTTTTAAAACGAAGTAAATAAACAAAACAAAAAAGTTGATGAAACAAGAATATAAGCAGTCTCGTTACAATGACTTTGTCAGCATATACAATTTATCATTGAATCAAATACTAACTGCCGTTTTCATTTTAGTTGTTATAACATTTATTATACAATTAATTGATGACGGATTTTTTTTGTTTTTCCGATCATGATAAGGAGCACCTGGCCGGTTTGGATGTTTTGGTTCTTTTTTGTATTGTTTCATTGACGTTTGAACTTGAACATTGTCCTTTGTCATTATCAACTGCATATAGTTTTTGTTTCAAAGCTATTTCAATATATATCAGATCTTCTCGGAAGAAACTGAACTTAAGCAGTCTCTGAATTGATTATGAGATCTTTTTTAAGAAAACCCTTTCTTGTCTAATGTTCACTGATTTCGTTCATATCAACTGTTGAGCTGTTATTTTCATACTGAATTAACAATCAGTCTCTCCGTCTGCCCAATATCTAAGAAAGAGCAAAGGGATTATATAATTTGTTACAGGAGTTTTTTTCCTCTGCATTTTGCTTCTAATATTTCAAGTGTTTGTTCTACTGACTGTTTCATTGTTTCACTTTCGATAACCGTTCTTTTTTTCCGTATACATTTATCATATGATTTTTCCATCTCTTTTTTCCTGCATTGTTAGCATATATTCTTTTTAAAGATTATTAGAACATATTTAAAACGATGGTATACCATTTTTTCTTTTGCATATCGTAAAGTAGAATGGCAATGACGTTATTTCCTGTATTATGACAGCCTCAAACTGGCCTTAAGGATACTTGTATGATTTTTATGCAAATCTATCTTGAAATCTAAATGAAAGTCTTAGTATAGTATACTACAGTGATGCATGCATAGTATTAACAAAAAGTACCTTTGTTAAGCAGAAGACATGGAATCATATATGAAAATGCAAGACACTTACTAGAATATGAAGTATTCTGAATAATACACCCTCTTTCTCTGTCACACGTCTGATTTTGACTACAGTTACAACTCTCACGACACCCATGTCCGTAATACCCGAACATACATGGAATGGAGCAATTCTGTCCAAAGGAACCGAAGCAAGCTATAAGATAAATTAAAAATAAAGATTGTATAGAGGCTTTAAATATAAACTGCATGTTGAGAAAAAAGTAAAAAAGATGAAAATGTACCTATGCACTCTCCAGAAATATTCTTATAATCTTGACAACAGGAAGGATTTTCGTTTCTGTAAAATTCAACAACTTTTGTTACTAAGACATTTTTTATGAATAAGATTCTAATTGTATTATGTAAACAATTTGTATCTAGAGAATTTCGCTTTTGAAAACTGACCTTTTGAAAATGAAATTAGAAAAGGGACTTATTTTCTATATCACGTTAAATTCATTATTATTTTTTTTTCAAATCTTTAATATAATGGTTTTGAAAAATATTAATTACACCTTAATCTAATCGAGTGTGTAGAATTATTGGGTCAATATTTAATTTATGATTTTCTGTTCAAAATATCCAGTAAAATAAAATACTCACGAATCATAACAAATTGTTGAGTCTTTAAAAAAACGTGTGAATTATTAATCTTACAACATATCAAAACTAAGCAGAAAAAGAACTTGTTTTCCTATTTCTAGTTAACTGTTTAGAAGTAAGGCATAAAAATATATAACTATATTTAGCAACAACAAACAATTTATAGTTGAAAGTATTTCCTTATGGAGAGATGATTATTTCGAACTTTAGATTTTGAAACTAAGCATTATACATGATTCTTGCATGACTGCTATACTACGAAAATATCACGTTAAAAAAACGAATGCCGTTCGCCTGTGCCATTCATTGTTCTGAAATATCGATGATGGTAACTTGTGCCCAAAAAGAGAAAAAAGACTCTGTTGAGAATCAATATCCGCCCTATGCTCATTGATTTGATTAAAAGAAAAGCGGAAATCTGTAGAACGATTCAGTGTGTAAATGATAAGCTGAGGAGTAGGCCACACCAAATTAATTTCTTGTTTGTCTGACATCTGATAAAAAAAGTACAAGTAGGAAAGAGATAAGATAATAGTAATCATTTTTGTAGGCACAATGTTTTGGCAGAATATCATTGATTGATTGTTTGATGTTTAACGTCCCTCTCTAAAATCTTTCACTCATATAGCTGCCACCACTTGTCGGTGGCGAGCTGCAGAATATGAAAAGAATGAGCGAAAAATAATAAATTTTCTACTTTTTATAATTTGTAGAGCAAACAGATATAACATTAAAAAATAGAGCTGAATAGAACAGAAATTAGCACGGGATTTTCCGCATGTGGGAAAATAAATTTACATTTATTTTAGTTTTCTATTCATACGAGCGCGCAGGTCTGAAGAACACAAAATTTAATCATTGTTGCCCTAGAATGAAAAATTTCAGTCGACATTGGATTTACTGATTCTTTGATTGTCATTGATTATTGCATTGACAAAAGACTTTGCGAAACCATGACCTTCTTCAGTCTCCCTGTGCTTTAATAGAGAAACACCGACATCTTACGAACGAACGTAACTCTCCCTAACTTCCCATATCTCGATAGTTTTCTCGGGACCAGTGATTGCACCCATATAAAGTTTAAAATCGGAAGAAATAAGTATATGTGTAAAATAGAACGGATAGTGTTTTAACCACTTTGTATTTGAAATTTGCTCATGTCAATTTTTTTTGTAATCACTTACAATGTTTTAGAAAAGCGAGCAAATAGAAGAAAATGCACCATAGTACTTTAGACGGATTAGGAAACACGTTTGTCATGCATGCGTCAGTGATTAAACGTAAACAAAATACTCGTAGTGTGCGCTTTGTCCATATCGGGTAAGGTTACTTTTTACAGCTTGAAAAAAAATAAGTCCGTGCAATCAAGTAAATAGGTAGTGCGCTTTATAAAGTGTCTTGTATTGAAAAAGAGAGAGAGAGAAGGGGGAGATATTCCTTTTTAAATTTATTAAAATATCACTTCAAAGAAATAAACGAGCATTCATGGTAGACAAAATCTTCTTAGATGATGTATTAAATGGCGATCTTAACTAAATTATCCTAAGCTGCTTTTATTTTATATATATGTAACAGGCCTGAAGCAAGCATTTTCAGTTAGGTGGGGGGGGGACCAAAAATTAAAAGAGACATTCACAAAAAATTCCTCGTGAGAATTATATGAAGATTTTTAAGATACATGTTTGTAAGAAGAAGCTTTATCAACCGACAAATTACGAACAGGCATTCCCCTGGATTTATGATATGGCTATAACACCTGTGTATTAAAAACCATATTAATTATATTTTTCGCAGCATATAGTATTTTGAACAAAACTTTCTTCAAAGTTTTTGGGTTTTTGCAATTTAAATTTAGACCATAACTCCTTATTGTCCAGAGCGTCCTTTGTAAAGTACCCCCTCCCCCACCGTTCGATCCCTACTGTATCCGCACATATTTTTATTTTTTATTTACTGCCACAGAATGACATTTTTTGAATTTTCCTTTCATTTCCCTTCTCGAACCCCTTTGCTCGTTTAAATGTCCATTGAAATGTATTGTAGCGTCACGGTAGCGACTTCGACAAGACATGGCTTTGAGGTATCTTGTGGGGTTTTATCCATCATCCATATCATCCATAAAATTGAAGAATTCAATAATCCAACAGTGAATACAATAGACTACAATGACTGGTCCCCGTTTTTGGTTACGTTCGTTCGTAAGATGTCGGTGTTTCTCTATTATATATATTGCATATACGTTGACACTTTGTCAGAATGGATTAAATGTATCAGATCCATGTAAAAGTCGCGTAATACAAGATTGAAGGACAATATGAAAACTATCTATCCTTCTGGATTCAATAATCCAGATGCGAAAAAGTAAATTGTGATAGATTACACGATCAGTACGTACTGGTCCCTTCTGACAAAGCAGGTAACAACATTGTCTTTGTGTGTAATACTCATTATATAATTTGAATTTAGAAGAACTTGGGTTTAATTCTACAAGTGGTTATCCAACACATACACATACTTCCCTTTCTAAGGATGAAATTCTTCAAAATCATATCTCTATGTTCTTCATTCAAGAAGTGGTCTGAATCAGATGTGGATACTCAAAAATTCCAAAGAACTTTTGGACAATTTGAAATCACAAGTTTTTACCAAAATTAATAGCTTGAAAATTTATGACTTTTCAAGTTTATACACAACCTTTCCCCAAGATATATTTAGGTCCAGGGAACTGGTAAATTTACCCACCTAATCATTGGTCTTTTGCAAAATTATTTTGTTAAAACACTTTCTGATTGCACACACAAGTACTCTGAAGATGCTTCAGTTTCTGGAGATCAGATCTTTTAACAATTTATCGGAATCAGCATGGGTACCAATTGCGTTCCGTTATTAACAGATCTATTTTTGTATTCATATGAAGAAATATTTGTGCAAAATCTTACGCGTGAAAAGAAGAAAAGACTTGCTGTGACGTTCAACTCGACATTTAGATATATCGACGACGTATTGTCAATAAACAATAGTATTTCCATTCCTGTGTCGATACCACAGCAATATACCTTCATCACCTGCATTCCGCGTGTATATCTCTCAGTAGATTCCAAACGCAAGAGTAAGCTATACGAATGAACAAATTCTAGAACGAGGTAAGTTATTGACAAACAAGCTGATGAAACACGAATAATAGCAGTCTCTTTTAAAGTCATCATTTCGCAAGGTCTATGGTCGATATAATAACCTTGTCAGACTTATTTACTATTTTCTGAGATATATAGATATTCTTATCAGTTGAATTTCAATTAATATATTGTTTCATAGAAAATAATCAATTCCAAGATAAGCATAACCTTGATTTTCTATTCCTTTGATAAAGTGTATGGAAATAACGAACAGTATTTAAGCTCAAATGTCCATTAAACAGTACAAATAGGAGCAGAGCAAACAGAAACCTCCAAAACATCAGAGGTGGGATCAGGTGCCAGGGAAAAATGATCATCCCTTGCAGAACGGTCAGACCCGCCGTGTGCTCATTGACATCATCGGGAAATAAGGGAAAATCTGTTGTCAAATCAGTACTGTGTAATAATGGCCTAACAATTCGTGGGAAAAATATCAGTCAGCATTTGGCTCAATGATAAGTTGTATTTGTTGTCAAAGTCATTGTGTCGACCATAGAACTTTCGAAAAGATGACATTAAACGAGACTGCTGATTTTCTTAAGCTTATCATCAACTTGCATTTCATTAACCTACATCGTTTTAGAACTTGTACACAAGTAGAGTATCGATTCAAATGAGAAATATCAACTCCGTATGATGAAGGTAATTCAATTCAATTTTCTCCTACAACATTATTAAAGTTCTGATAATTTTTACAAGGTATAATACTGGAAATTATAACCTCTTTTGCCCAGCTAGTTTGAATATATATTCCTTTTAAGATTGTCAGATTAAAGTAAATAATATGTAATGATATTGGTTCATTTGCCTATCTTATGGCAACATGGAGATAATATTAAATATCCATTATCAAAGTCTTAACCTTGTCAACTAAATATTTGCATGATTTTTCAGGTTAAATATATTTTCTGGAAAACCTAGTTTTGCAGTACAGTGATTCAAACACAATCAGCCAGTGCTCTATCTAAAGCTGAATAAACGGAATCATGCTTAAAATGAAAAGCACTTACTGGCTATTGAATATGACCTGTAAGCAATACAACCTCTTTTTCTGTCACACGTCTGATTTTGGTAACAATTACAACGCTCACGGCATCCATGTCCATAGTACCCGTACATACATGGATTGGAGCAATTCTGTCCAAAGTAACCGATGCAAGCTATAAGATAAATTAAAAATATAGATTGTATAAAGGCTTTAATTATGAAGTTTGCGTTGAGAAAAAAAAAGTAAAAAAGATGAAAATGTACCTATACACTCTCCAGAAATATTCTTATAATCTTGACAACAGGAAGGATTTCCTTTTCTGTAATATTAATCTATATTTCTCAATAGGATATATTATAAAAATAATCATATGGCAATATCATATTATTTAAACAATATGTAAATCTATCGTAATTTTTGTGGATTGTTTTCATATCTTCAGAAATTTGCTAATTGAAGTCCGACCTTTTGAATATGAAAGTGAAAGGCTTTTTTCTTTTTAAGGAGAATATTTCATGATTTTCTTTCAAATACTCCATAAAAAGTTTAGTTTGTGTTCCATAGAATTATTAATACTCCGGTCAGTTCTCATTAAATTTTAATTTTTTTGTTAAATTTATGCAATAGAAAATACTCACGAATCATAACAAATTGAAGAGTCTTCAGAAAACATGTATGAATTTTTAGTGGTACAAAATATCAAAACCAACCAGAATAAGAACCTGTATTCCATTTGGCTTTGTTAATTGTTAAGAAGTAAGGCATAAAAATGTATGAATATATTTCAAAACTACACAAAATTTATAATTGAAAATATTTCCTGGTGGACAGATGATTATTTTGAACTTTAGACTTTAAAATACGTGATACTTGAAGGACTGTCTAGCTACAAAATTATCACGATAAAAAAATATCGCGTTTATCTATGCCATTTAGTGTTCTTTAAAAAATAAGGGATGGGATCTTGTGCCTTTCTTCATTTTCTAATCGAAAATTAATTAAAATGTATTTTAGTATAAAGAAATATTCAGGCATTTGAAAATTTTTTCATGATTTTTATACTTATATTTATGGTACTTTATCTATTCTATTCACTTAAGTTATTTTATAATCCATGGTGTAAAAAGAGTTTTCCATAACCACTAGAAATCACTTAAAAGAAGGATATGGAGATAACAAACAGTATTCAATCTCAAAGTCCATAAAACAATACAAAATAAGAGCAGAAAAAATTTTATCTTTGCAATATAAATATAAATCTCAATTGTCTAACGTTATCTTCAATTCATAACATTTTTGATTGATTGATTGATTGTATATTGTTTAACGTCTCTCTTGAGAATATTTCACTCATATGGAGACGTCACCGAATGCCGGTGAAGGGCTTCAAATTTTGACCTATACTCGGCACTCAGGGCCATTGAGCAATGAGGGTTCTTTATCGTGCCAGCGCCTACCGTGACACGGAACCTACGTTTTTAAGGTCATATCCGAAAGACCCGTGACTTTCACTTCTAGTGCCGAGCGCTTGGCGAAGGAACAGTCACTACCTTTATTTACGTCTTAGGTATGACGCGGCGCCGCGATCGAGAATCGAACCCGGGCCTCCCGATCACGCATAAAATTTTTTGAAGTTTGAAATTGCTTGTTTATTCAATAATACCTAGAAGAGTAGGTTGGAGCAACAAGAAATAAATATTCGATACAAAATTTAAATGGCCAAAAATTGTTTTATCTCTAAAACAAAATCATTAAACATTGAATGCTAATATGTAGTGCATCCTCATAAACACTTGTGCTAATCCTTAATTTTACCTTGCTACAAATCATACAACCTGTGACGAAATCCTTAGCTTTTTACCCTAATGCTGTAAGTATTTTATTGAAATTTATTATTTAAATCAATGATGTAATAAATATTGAACGTAATTAACTTCAAAGTACAAAATCTTTCCGAATGTACTAAAGATTATAGATTATACATATGTTTAAAACGTTTATTTTTGTCTAAACTAAATTCATCGACTTTGAGACCTGAACTATAATCGTGGGAATAAAACAAAACAGGTGTAGAACATTTGACTTGGATCTTTTTCAACAAGCCTTTATAGAGACTAAAAAGGCTAAATTGCGCTTTGATTGAAGAGTTATGCACCATGATAAATTGAGGTCCAGGCTTTTTGATATCATTGACAGGTGTTTTTTCAATAAACTTGGAACTCGTTCATTTACTTACCTTGTTATTGGTCATTTGCAAATTTATTTTGTTAAATACATTCTGATTATACTCACAAGTTCTCTGACGTTAGCATAAAAAAGATGCTTCCAAAATATATTTGAATTCCCATAGGTATCAATTGCGCCCTCTTATTTGCAGACCTATTTTTGTATTCATATGAAGCAGATTTTGTCCAAAATCATGTACATGAAAAGAAGAAAACACTTGCTGTGGCCTTCAATTCGACATTTTGATATACATGTATCGACGACATACTGTCAATTAAGAATGGTTATTTTCATTCTTATGTCGATATAATATATCCCAGTGAGCTTGAGATAAAAGATAGCATGTAGTCTGACACATCTGTTTCATATTTGGGCATATTACTTGAAAAAGACGTTAATAGTAGTCATACAACTAAGCTCTATGACCTTTACTTTTCGATCGTCAACTTCCCTTACTTATGCAGCAATATACCTTCATCACCTGCATACAGAATCTATATTTCTCACAGTTGATTCGATACGCAAGAGCTTGCTCCACGTATATACAATTTATAAAACGAGAATGATAAGGTCCATTCTTATGTCGATAATATATCACGGTGGTCTTGAGATAAAAGATACCACAGAGTCAGACACATTTGTTTCATATTTGGATATTTTATTTAAAAATTAGTTAATGGTAAGCTAACAACCATGGCACCTGATCTCATCTTTGATGTTTTGGAGATCCGTAATTTCTCTGCTCCTATTTTGTATTGTATCATGGACGTTTGCTTTTGAATTAATTTTAGTTATCTGCATATGTTTCATTCAATGTATAATGTCGATTGCTGATTTATTTCATCATATGAGACGTCATCGTTTGTGAGTGAAAACTTTAAAATTAATTTGACCTTACGTCGGCACTGGGATATTTGAGCATTTGAAAATTGCCGTTCTTCAAGCACAGTTCCAGCATTTTTTCCATGAGGAGTTGAGGTCATCATATTCACAAATAATCCAGCCTGTAAATTTTCTCACTTAACATGTTCCACCATCTATGGGCGGGCTGAGATGAGAAGTTGGGGTCGAAGGAAACTAAGTTTTATTTGTGTAATATGCACATTTAATATCTGCACAAATTCAAATACGGTCCTGAACCCGTTAACCCACCGTGCATGGTTCTTTATCGTATCAACGCCAATCGTTTCTTAGATTTATGACTAGCACCATTCTCGTCTAACTGTGGAAACGCTAGACGATGGAACAGATGCCACATGTGCGTTTGTCGTGTTTGTGACTGAACCCTCGACCTTCCTAATTAGATTGAAAACCAATTATCATTTGTCGCATGGAATCATTATATAGCAGTGCTGTACGACCGACGACATACGAACTTGAGATTTCTTTGCACGTAGATTACTTTCATCTTTATAATAAAATCATAATCCTAAAGGTATTTAAAAGTGGTGTTGTTAAGTGACATAATTACTACTTGTATAACAATTTATAAGGATATTTGTTTGAATTAAAGCGATGCAAAGCAATATACATGTACATTTGTGCCTTTTTTTGCTTTGAAATGGTTTGTAGTTCTTATCATGTGTTTTACATTCTCGTAACAAATTCTCGTCCGTCTTACAAAAGGTTGAATTTTGTAAATGTGCAACGTATTTTATAAGGATAAAGACACTGAATAGAAATATAAAAAGCTCTAAACGTATGTGAGATTTTTAATATTAGTGCAATATGCAACTAATTTAAATGCGTTTCTGTTGGTAACTCAACTTTTAAAATTATTTTTTAGAACATTAAAGAGACATATAAGTTTCCTCCATGCAGCCATTCTGACGATCACATATCTCCTCTTCAGAACATTACATTGTTGACGACACCCAAAGCCATAAAATCCAGCTGTACAATGCAGTTTACAATTTTCTCCCCAGGATCCAATGCAAGCTTAAAGATTTAATTTTCAATTTTTAAATACTTTTTTAAAGATGGTGGATTTTAAAGTCGAAGGTCCCGTTAAGTTTAAAAAGTATTCACAACATTCAATATCATTTGTTATGCTATGAATTTGAATAAATAATGATGAGAATTTATTATCAAATGTCGACCCGATATATCCAAGTGAACTTGAAATAAAGGTATCACAGTGTCTGCCACATCTGTTTAAAATTTGGATGTTTTACTGACTAAGTAGGACAAATAGCAACTAACAATTGAATTGTATGACAAACGAGATGACTTTAAGTTGTCAATTGTAAGCTTTCCTTACTTATGAAGTAATATCTTACTATCACCTGCTTATTGTGTTTATGTCACCCAACTTCTTCGTTACCCAAGAACCTGGTTATATGACGAGCAAGACATGCTACTCCCTGGTAATCTGATTTTACAAGTCAGCAGCTCATAAGTTCTTTAAATTAGTCAGCTATGATGACCTTGTTAGCACATATATCCTTTCATTTAGCCGTATTTGAACTCACTTATTTCATACCAAATGCATTGCCTTATATTTGCATACCGACTGCTCTCTCCCACTATGAACATGTAGTCATCAACTGCGTTCATAGGACTATAGACGCAACTGCTTCTGCTATGTGTGCAATGTGTGCAATCGCTCTATCACACTCGTGTAGATCAAGCTCTACTACAGGTATACAAGGTGTTGAGAAGTATATATATGACATGTTTCGTAAGAGGAATAAATATAAGTTTGAAATAATATTCTTTTAAAAAAAAAAAGAAATTCAGAATATTTAAAATTGCTGATTTACATCTTTAAAAATTTAAATTTGGTCAATGTATTTAATTGTATAATAAAACTTTTTTAAAAATTGTAGAGAACTGCCAACGATAACTCTTCACACTTGGGAGATATCATTCAGAAAGAGAAAATTTCTGTAACAGTTACTAGTATATCTATTTCAAGAATGATGTCAGCTAGCTGCTGAAAAATAAATAGAAAAACAAACAAAAAAAAATCATGGAAAAGCATTCTTGGATTATAATTATTATTAAAGCATTGATTTTTTTCATCATAGTTTTAAATTATTGATTTTTGTCAGAGGGTTTCAATAACGTTGATCGATGACGTCACAACTGCATCAAAACAAAAATTAAGCGAATGTAATGATGGCGCTGCTTGTATCCAGATAACTGTTTGAGAGGGAAATACTTAATAAATTGTTATTGATTTCTTAGGGAAAAGGAGCATTGATCATGTGTACTGATTTAAAAGCCATATGTTTTTCTTTATTGAAGACACGAAGCCGCGTTCTTATGTAACTCAGGATTTTCTCTGATATTCTTGAAAAAAAATTTTAAAAATGCAAATATAAGTAATAAACAACGATTATTCAGTCAGCGCGCATCATGGAATATGCCAGCAGAGCAATTGCTATTCATAACGCCATGTTCACTGAATAACGTTGTTTATTTCTTAATTAAATACTAGATTTGAATGCGTAATGTATCCTTGATCAATTCATATGACTCATGC